AGTCTGGGAAATAGCAGAATAGTATTATGATCGTTATATTGAAGAAAATGGATATGGTGACAAGGAATTTTTGAAAGTTCGGGACAATGCTCTAGCAAAGGTGACTCCTACAGTTTGGGCCAAGTGTGTGAAACATACCGAGGACTTGATTAAAGACGACTGGAACAAGCATCAAGCGCTTAATAGAGATAAGACTAATATAATAATTCACTTAGGAGAAAGTTCAGAGGATTCTGATGAAGAAATCCACTAATTTTGACGCTTTTAAACTCGGGTTTTTAACTCTATGTCGCCTTAATAATCCGTCGGCTGCAAGATATATCATATTACATAAACACGGACATCAATTTTGCAGCTCCCCCCTTACCGTTGTCAATACAACCCTATTGAGTTAGTCTGGAACAATATTATGATCGTCATATTGGGGAAAATGCCTATGATGACAAAGAAGTTGCTCTATCGAAGGAGACTCCTACAGTTTGGGCCAAGTGTGTGAAACATACCTAGTACTTGATTCAAAACGACTGGGACAAGTATCAAGTATTTAATAGGGAGGATACTAATTTAATCATTTACTTAGGAGAAAGTCCAGGTGACTCTGATGAAGAAATCCAAAATTCATACTCTTATTGAAACAATTTTAAAAATTTATAATTCTTAATTTTCTGTGTGTGCACCTTAATGTAGATTGCTAAGTATTATGATAGGTATGGAAGTTACAAGCTTGAGGTTTTTAAGGCAACATAGCTTTAGAAGCTCGGGCTTAAGAGCATCATCATCAAAATGTATTTTTTTGTCTATCAGTAATTTATTTAGTCGCATTTCGCTCCAGGAAAGATTGAGCATTTTTATTATTGAAGATGGTTCTTCTAAAGCTCTCATAAGTTTGTCACATATCCACATCGAATATTAAATGTTTCATCAAGTTAGCAAATAGATGTAAAATGTTTTGTATTATACTGTAAATTGGGTATGTATTTTTGATTTCAAATTTAAAAAACATCAAATCGCGTCTCATAATACTCTGCCCATGTTCATTTACTAGATTAGAAATTTTTTGAGAATAACGATTAGTAAATAAATTTGAATCGGTTTCCCTCAGTTAGGAAAATTAAGATCCTCCCATGGTACGGGCACTCGATCTGTTTACTTATTTCATATGGCATTCACGACGGTACCACCAAGATAGGTGACTACAACTATACAAGTCTGGTTAAAAAGACAAGAGTGGTATGGTGTGGATAGACAGCTGTTTGGAGGAAATGGATGGACGTGTACTGAGAGAAGCATCAGTGTCCCAAGAAGCCATAGGAATATTAAACGCCTTGAATTTAAGCAAAACTACACTGCTCTAATGAAATTCAAGATTATAATTTCAGCATCGTGTATCTCGATAATGGGACATCTTAGGACCCATCTTTATATGAACTTCTCGTGTTACTTTTTGATCTGCTTTAAGTACTACAAATATTGCATTTACAAAGCTTTGATAATTACAGTCTATATTTTTGAAGAAATTGTACCATTTGTATCTGTGGCAGAAAATGCTACCCAAAATAGGCATCTACATCTTTTCTTAATACCACAGTAATGCATTAATGACTAAAAGATCAGACTTACCTAGTTTCTTGAATACCTGGATCTGGATTTAGATTCAACCATAAACAAACTTTCTTTACATAATCCCAAAAAAAGCCATTATACACCGTGAAATAAAATTTTGACAGCACTGCGATTTTTTGTTTAAAATTTCTGTCGTCAAGGAAATTGTCTCTTTGATCATGAACATTTTGAATACAGAGTGTGTGAACATTTGCACTTGGGCCGGATATTTCCATTGATCCTCGGGATCAAAGTTCTTGATCCGGATCAAGATGCACCAATGGGAATGAGTAAATTTATAGTAATGGATCAAATGAGTATCGTCGGTTTCTCCTAAAATGTCCGTCAAACTAGCTACAAATATACAAAAACATTTCAGTAAACGTTTCAGTAAAACTGGATCAAAAATTAGATAATCAGAAACAAGTACCAGAAGTTGTAGATGATAGAACCAAATTCAAAACAAACACAAACACCTGAGAAAATTAAAAAAAGGATGTATCGGTAGACAATTAGGTGTAGATTTCAACAAACTCCTCAGTTATCTTCCATTATCACATGTTTCTGCTGCTGTACCTAATCCGCATGTCTTCCTCCAAGGTAGATAGACATATACTAAGTGACATATAAATCCGAACAACCAGTTTAAATGGTTTTATTTTAATAAAAGTTGGTGAATGTATTTATCTTACTGTAAATAACAAGTGAAAAAAATTTCAGCCTTATCAGTTGGACGTTCCGGTTTTTATACTGCTTTTTTTTAATTCACTATTTTGGTTCTTGACATCCTTTACGATCGGTTACGATGCCGATGTACGGAGACCTGTACGATTTCGTCAACTTAGTGAGTTTGATAGGGGCTGTATAGTGGGACTTCGGGAAGCTGGACTTTATTTTCGGGCAATTGCAGTTAGAGTGCAAAGAAGTGTAGACACTGTGGTTAGGTGTTGTCAGGCATGGCTTCGAGAAGGCCGTACGCAAAGAGCAAGGGGCACTGGACGCCGCCGTAGAACAACAGATCGTGAAGATCGCCGCCTAAGATTATTGGCCTTAAGGGACCGTTTCTCCACTACCAGGTCCATTGCAAATGAATGGTTTGCAGAACACGGAAGACCTATTGGCATGCGAAGTGTTTACCGACGAATGAGAAGTTTTGGCTTGTTTTCATACCGGCCACACTGGGTCCTCCCTTTAACTCGAGAACACCGACGTAATCGCCTTGAGTGGTGCAGACAACGGTCACTCTGGGATCAGGAATGGAACAGTATTGTCTTTAGTGACGAGTCTCGATTTTGTTTAGGCATGCACGATGGTCGTGCTAGGGTTAGAAGGCGACGTGGTGAAAGGAGGAATCCACAGTTTTTTGTTGAAAGACATGTTCATCACACTGTTGGAGTTATGGTTTGGGGTGCTATAGCTTATGGTTCCAGGTCACCTTTAATCTTCATCAGAGGTAACATTTATTTATTTATTTATTTATTTACAAATTTACGGGATAAACCCATTCGGTTACAGGTTGTAAAAGTACAATCTTAACCTAATAAAATTCACACACATCATAAATAAAGAATCTAACATATGAACATAAAGTTTGACTATTTACTAAATTAAAATATTAAAACGTGCATAAAAATAGTTACAAACAAATACTAAAAAAAAAAAAAAACTAAAAAAACTGAACAACTAAACAACACAGCAAACATCACCAGCAATTGAGACATTTTAAAACTTTAGCTAAGATTTCTATCTTTAAGGAACTTTTTGAGAGAGCATAGTGAAGTATTAAAAAGGTCTATATCACAGTCATTACAATTTCTCATTATCCTATCCATGCTACTATTCGAGCCATACAAAGTTCTATGCCGACAAGGTTCAAAGGATCTGCGTTCTCTTAAATGCCTAGGAGAAACATAAAAATTTAGCTTTAGAAGCAGGTCTGGGCAGTGGTAAACACCATGAATTAATTTATAAGCAAAAACAATATCTGCTGAATCTCTCCTGGCTCTTAGGGATCCAATCCTTAACTCCTTTTCAAGAGCATTATAGTCTAAATTCTCAATAGAAATGTGTTTTTTGTAAGCTATATATCGTAGAAATTTTCTCTGAACCCCGTCAAGCATGTCCTGATAAGTTACATAATATGGAGACCACACGCTGCTGCAATTTTCTAGATGAGATCGCACCAGTGAAGTATAGAGAGTTACTATAGCTCCAATGTTAGTAAATTCAGATGTAACATGAACGCGCAACGTTATATCCACGAAGTTCTAGAACCCCATCTTTTACCCTATCTTGACACCCTGGCAGATCCAACTTTCTATCAATATAATGCCCGACCACATGTTGCAAGAGTCACAATAGACTTCTTTCAACATAATGATGTCACATTGTTACCATGGCCACCAAGATCTCCCGACTTATCCCCAATTGAGCACGTGTGGGATATGATGGGTAGGAGATTGCTCAATTTGCAACGTCCTCCTCAGACTCTAGAAGCACTTCGAGAGGAGTTGGTGGTTGCCTGGAATGAGATACCACAGGAGTACATTGATCACCTGATCAGAAGCATGCCTAGGCGCGTTGGAGAATGCGTAGCACATCAGGGTGCATCCACACATTATTAAAGGACAAAGGGCTTTAAAGCAGTGCAGTCATTTTGAAATTTTTATCATTTACTTATTATGCTTCATTAAGTACTTATACAAAATTTTATTAAAATAAAACCATTTAAAGTGGGTGTTCGGATTTATATGTCACTTAGTATATATTTGGTACAGTTATTTTAAACACCTTTATCTGGTTTAGACAAATACAGGGTGGCCGATACGTAACTGACTGGTTTGTGTCTTGAATATTTGTGAAATGAGGTAAAATACGTCCACTTTTTTCATCTCAGTCTTTTATTGAAACTTTTTGGTAGGTTTTGGGAGGAATATTTTCAATCGCTTCAGTAATATTGTTTTTCAGCTGCTCTACAGTATTTGGTTTGTTGACATAAGCCTTATTTATCTAAAATCCCCATACAAAAATCCGGTGACCTTGGTGGCCAGTTGACTTCACCAAATCGAGAAATTAAACGTCTCGGAAATATTGTTCGCAAAAGATTCGTTGTTTCGCTAGCTGTGTGACAAGTTGCTCCGTCCTGCTGGAACCACATGTTTTTCAGGTTAAATTGTTGGATATAGAGGAATGCGACGAGATACCCCCGGAAGTTGTCGGTATTGCAGGAAATTTTTCTCTTCATTGACCATGTTTACACTGTAGTAGCCAAGTTCTTAGATAGCCACCATAGCTACCGGCAGGGTAAACGTGTCCATTTTGACTTGATCTGCCCTTACATTCTCCTTCGCGCGCTAGCCCCTAAAACTTTGACAGTTATCTGTTACAATAAATGCTAGAAATCTGACAAGTAATGTCAATATGCAAAATCAATCTAGAAATAGTCACAGAGAATGGAACCAGTTGCATCATCTTCATTTGCAAAATCAGTGTCTTCCATGCAATTGCGATCTGGAAGAGTACCATCCAGATATATTTTCATCAATGACAAAAATGCATACCTCATTAAAAGGTAGGTGCAACTGCATTATAGTTTGGTTAAGTATATCGGAATCTAAGAGCTTTTGATCCATGAAAATGAGTTGGTACGTTTTGGAAGCGTCCATGTTTATTACTTTTGAACGCGCTTCTTTTCTGAATGCTCTTTCATCTATGAAAGCTACTTATGACTATGGCTAAGATAGATGTATAAACACGCCCCGAACTTATAACTTTTTGCACAAAAACATTGAAAATCCGGATTTTTTAAAAACATTCTAGCGGCAGATGAATAATTAAATTATATTAAAATAAATATTTGGGCGGGTATTCTTGACAATCAGGTAATTGGCCCTTTCGAGTTACCCCCAAAGTTGTCAGGAGAAGGATACCTTAGCCTTCTAACCAATAACCTATCAGAACTTTTGGAACAGACCTTAGACATGCCATTACAACGGAGACAGAATTTGTGGTTTCTTCATGTCGGGGCACCACCACACATTTTTAGAGGCGTCATTCAGTATTTCAATGAACATTATCCAAATCGCTGGATCGGTCTACAAGCTCCTGATCCTCGAAAATGGCCAGCAAGATCTCCTGACCTCAATCCGAGGGATTTCTGGTATTGGGGAGAACTTAAAGGTATTCTTTATGGGGCTGGTCCAATAACAACTGAAACACAACTTCGCGAAAAAAATTTTAATGCAGCTGAAATAATAAATGGACAACTTCGAGGACCTAGAGTAAGAAGAAACTGGGTTCGTCGTAATGAAGCTTTTGTGGAAAGTGGAGGATGACCTTTTGAACAATTTCTTTAAATATAAAAAAGTGCAGTGTGGGTTTTAAAAAGAAGAACAATGAATGTATCAAAATTGTGTTTCCTATTTATGAGTGGATTTTTTTAATACGTTCAATAAACTTTCACACACCAGGTGAAGCGCTGAGACAGTTAGTGGTAAGTCCGTTTTTTTTTAATTGTTTGCATTTTACGAGTACATTATCAAATAATGAAATAATACCTAAGAGCCAAAAATAACAAATTCCATCTTTATTTACACTGCGTTCCGTCGTAATTTGCGTCTGGCATTGCGGTGTTGTCAGATTTTATTTTACTTTAAAGTCGATTTTCTCTGTTATATGAAATGTTTTGCTTCTTTTAACCCCCTGTATCGCCCACTTAAATAATGACTATCATAACCCTGTATTACAAAATAATCTTCCAAATTTCTTGCACTGTTCGACTATTCTAAATTTAGCAAATAATTCCATTTTTGAAAGACTGCAAATTTTACAAAATAAGTGCATGAGAATAATACTAAATGAAGGTAAATATACTCCAATTAGGCAAATGCTTAACAAATTAAAATGGCTCAATGTAAAATTTTTTATCAAATATCTTATAATGATATTCATTTATAAAGTAAAAAATAATATATTTCCATCAAGTCTCACTAATTTAACATCATCAAATGTCGACCATCATTTACATAATACCAGAAATAAAGATGATTTCCATTTAATGACCAAAAAGTATAACATATGCTACAAATCTGTATTCCATCAAGGGTTGATTGAATATAATAATTTATACTGAGAGATAAAAGACCAGAAAACTTTGACAAAATTTAAAGTGAAATTGAGAAATCACTTGTTAAATCTACAATTATAGGTTGCCCAGCATTTATATCATACACCATATGGCTTGAATTTACTAGTTCTATGTTGTTTACAATTATTCTGTTTATGTAGCCAAATGTGCTAAATAAATCTTTCTACTACTACTTCATACGTATATATACATATGTATTTTTATACAAAATTTCTCTACGGTGAATTTTGGATTTTCGTGAAATATTTATCCAATTTCCAATGAGAATCGATACTCCCTCTAGTAGAATAACTGTTCAATTCAATAAATTTTCTTACATGATTTGGTAGACGATGATATTTTAACTAGAACATGAAAAAACCAAGAAAGTTATGAAGTGCTTTATATTTAACTCCGGTAGTTCTATAACCATAAAATTTATTTTAATACATCTATTTTTATTTAAAATGACTCCCATAGCTTTATTTTGTAATATTTGTAATTTTTAATTTGCACTGAACAAAATAGTCGAATATACCTATAGCAAATGAGAAAAAATAATTGTTCACTTTTTTTTAATAAACACCTAGACTATGTGAAACTCTATAAAAGTAATTTAGCTTTTTACATATTTCTGAAATAATATATCCATAGTACCCTTCAAATTTTAATTTACTAGCTACATACACGCCTAAATATTTGAATCATTCAATTAGTTCAATGTTTCATGATTAATCGTAAGATTCATCGTATATTGATTTAAGCATTTTCCTAAATGCATAAATTTTGTTTTATTCTGACTTTTTCACGTTCACAGAGAGGTTTTGGCGTTTTCGTTTTTTTACGTGGTGCCGTCTGAAATTTGTATGGCTACGCGCGATCTCGGCATGCTACTGGACTATTCAATCTATTGCTGCAACATACTGAATAGAAGAAAAATAAATGAACTGTCACCTGTGAGACAGATAAACAAAATATACTGTCATTATTGTCACTGTAATTGAAAAAGGCCATCGTGGTGGGCGAAACGCCGCACAATAAACAGAAATTTGAGCATACGCAATTAAAATGTCCTGTCCCTGTAGTTTTACAAAAGTTTATTATAATGAGGACTGATACACAGTAGCGAATACTATACACTACTACACTTTGAAGTTGAATCATTAATTTTCAGATAATGATTGTAGAAGGAAGATAAACCAAAATATGTGTGCAAAAATAAAAAAAAAGATAAAAAAAATGTTACCTTGTTTTATAAAGTATCCTCCCGACAAGTATTTCAGTACGGACCTGTATTTGATCGTGCGGTCTTCTCCCCTGTGAGGTCTTAAGTCACCTGATTCACGAGCCCTTTGTACTACATTAACAAAGGCACGAGGGGTTGATTGCACTCGATCGGGAAACCGATCCGCATAAATCCGTGATGCCGCTGCAGCATTTTGTAAAGACACCCCCCCCCGTAAATAAGAATCATGTCCACAAGTTCAACATTTAATAGAATTATAGAAAGAAGAAAGTTAAGACAGATACATATAGACATATTATGTTATAGAACTATAGATTATGTCTCACATAGATGACTTATAACTGTTGCAAGCAGCTTAGTCAAACCTAAAATAAAAGCGAGTTGATGTTTGAAGCTTCAGGATTATGAGTTTGTTGTTGAATTACTTCCCTTTGCTATAAACATCGTTGATATCGCTGGGAAGCAACAATAGCTGAAGTAGGCGATTACTTTCATCAATAACAAAGCTAAGCCACTTACAATAACAAATTCAAGCCAAAAACTGGATCATACTGGACTTTCAGTTCATGGCACTTATTTCCATGAGCTTATACTGGCCATTGTTATGATTTTATCTAGGAAAACATCCAACAAAATTCGGACTGCAAAATACACGCTGGTCACCTTTTTGCCGATATTCCTTTTCGAGCAGTTCAGGAAATGGTCGAACGTGTTCTTCCTACTGATCGCACTGCTACAGCAAATACCAAACCTGTCTCCTACTGGACGATACACCACGATCATTCCACTGTCCTTCATCATGAGCGTATCTGCTATCAAAGAGATCATCGAGGATATCAAGAGACAGAGGGATGATAGGGAGGTCAATAATCAACTTGTTAGCGTTATCAAAAAGGTAAGCATTATTAGCAAAAGTAGTAATAGAAGTAGTAACGAAAGTAGGAAACAGTTAGGCAGGCAAAGACACAGAGTACGTCATCTTGCCTTGAAATGTGCCTTGAGGTGTACCTGAAAAATCTCCCGGTAGGTTCTTGGAAAAAAGTTTAGTATGTAACGGGTGATTTTTTAAGAGGTATAGGATCTGATTTTCAAAAAATAAACACAAAAAATTTGAAAAAACGATTAAATCTTTATTTGAGTCGATAGAACGGTCGATATAATTCAATGTTTATAGATTATTTCATGTAAATGTTGGCCGCGGCTCCGCTTTAGATGGTTCATGCGCAAGGTCCAATTTTGGCACACTCTCTCCAACATATCGGCCGGTATCTCACGAATAAATGCTTCAATATTGGCTTCCAGTGCGTCAATCGTTGCTGATTTATCCCTGTAGACATTAGCCTTAACATGGCCCCATAAGAAATAGTCCAACGGCGTTAAATCACATGATCTAGGCGGCCAATTGACGGGCGCCAAACGTTAGATAAACTGCTCACCGAACTCGCCTCTCAATAGGGCCATTGTTTCGTGTGCGGTGTGGCATGTGGCACCGTCTTGTTGAAACCAAATGTCAGCCAAGTCCAGCTCTTCCATTTTGGGCAAAAAAAGTTTGTTATCATCGCACGGTAGCGCTCGCCATTCACAGTTACGTTCCGGCCATTGTCGTCTTTGAAGAAGTACGGCCCGATGATGCCACCGGCCCATAATCCACACCAAACAGTGATTTTCGGATGCATTGGTAGCTCTTGCAATGCTTCTGGCTGGTATTCACTCCAGATGCGGCAATTTTGTTTGTTAACGTACCCATTCAACCAGAAATGAGCTTCGTCGCTGAATACAATTTTTCGATAAAAATGTGGATCTTCCTCCAACTTTGCCAGCGCCCATTCACCAAATTGGGAACGTTGTGGGAGGTCGTGTGGCTTCAATTCTTGCACCAGCTGTATCTTATAAGGTTTTACACCCAAATCCTGTCGCATAGTTTTCCACGCAGTGGAGTAACAGAGGCCCAATTGCTGCGAACGGCGGCGAATCGACATTTCACGGTCATCACTAACACTGGCGGATACAGCCGCAATATTTTCTTCAGTTCTAACTCTACGTCTGCGTTTTGGTGGTTTAATGTCCAATAATGTAAACTGGGTTCGAAATTTAGTCACAAGCTTCCGAATAGCTCCCTCAGTAGGCCGACCAAATTGCCCATAAATTGGAAGCAGTGCTCGATGCACTCTCTTAACCGAGCATGAATTTTGATAGTAAAATTCAAAAATTTGCAAGCGTTGATCGTTCGTAAGTCGATTCATGGTTAAATTATAGACCGAACTGAACAAGTTTGACAATGACACAAGACACGATTCACGCGTCAACTGTCAAAAACGGTGTTGCCAAAAAGATACAAGCAAAAAAATCACCCATTAGATATATAGATAGTTCAAATGTATAAGTATATCTCAACGTGTTCCGGCAAGGTAGAAGGAGCAAGTCTATGATTCGTATGTCTCCAGAATCTCAGTCTGGATGGAAGTTCATACTACAAGTCTGTCAACCTTAAGCCGCCAGTTTTAAAGCTGTTGATATTTCACATGAAATTCTCACTTTTACGCAAAATAATATGAAAGCGCGTAGGTTCCAGAGAGTTCTAGTGTTCCAGATTATTGTCAAAAATTGTGAAGGTTTCAATAATAATCGATCGAGAAATCTTAATATTTGCGAAAATACGTGAACCACAATGTTGGACTTTTTTTTAATTTGGAATGCTCAGTCCGAACGCTGAAGAGATCTATCTGAAACTTCAACTTTCAGTTTTACTTACTTTAAGTTTGAATCTATACGTTTTTAGGAAGGTCTTCATTTCTTCAGCTTTCTCTAGGGTGCCTTAAGAATGTCCGCATGTTTCCACACCTGAACTGCTCGGTCAGTTATCTTCAGGAAGAAAGAAATAAAGGATTCCTCGAGTACTAAGAGTTTCGGGCATAAGCTCACTCCACTCTCGGAATGTCCGGGAAGAGGAAGGACTCAAGAAAACAACATCGATTATAACATTTGTTTCACGAACGTCTGCAGGATTAACAGCAACATTGATGCTGTTCATCACTACCTGGAATCTAATCATCCCGTCATGCTTTTCTCGGCGGAGATAAAAATTTCAGTGTCTGCACCGATTAATCATCCCAAATTTCGAGGTGCACTCCAATCTGAGAAAGAATAGGGGAGTTGTGGCAATATTTCCTGCCCCAAAGATGTTTCTTTGGAATCAGACTGGAAGAACATTCTGTGGCTTCGCCTCAACTCAAAAACATCCCCAAATTTATTTTCTGCCTTTTTCTCTTTCCTTCTGACGATAATTGGCATAACCTACTTGAATACCTCGCTGTCAAGGTCGACTTCCTGAACATCAATTACCTTGCTTTATAGGTAGTTCTCTTCAGTAATTTCATGCCCATAATTTTTGGTTGTGCTCAAACAAGACCAATGCAGGAGGTCGTGCAGTTGGAGCGTTGGTGATTATCCAAGGACTGACCCAGCTGGTGATGAGCCCTACTTTTTACGCTAGTAGCCTGCTGGATCTCTTCCTGACCAGTCACCCTGACTCTCACAGCACTGTTCTCCTGTCTCCCCTGGATAACTCAGACCACGGTGTTGTGGAGGTTAAGTTTCGGTCAGAGCTCGCTGAGGCAGCAGAAACTTTCCCAGCCCGCGTGGTGAGATTGTGGAACTATCTGAAAAAGGAGGCTTTTCCCAGTTCTACTAATCTTAGGCAGTTCAAAAATCGGAATAACAAAATTTCTTTGGGATCCACATAGCAGCCTTATAAATAGTAATTTTTCGTTCTGATTTTATTGCCACGAGATTCTAATGAGGAAACTCAGTAGGCTCAAAAAAACTATGAATGTCAGATTAATTAAAAAGCTTCCAAACCTTTTTATTGAGTAAATATAGTGACAATTATATATTAGCAGCTTTTAGCCTAGAACCTGCTCAGTAGGTGTCCAACAGGGTATCAAATTAAAAAAACACTGCAAAATTCAACTATTTGCTGATGATACAATAATATATATATATATATATACAGGGTGGCCCATTCAAGTGTGGACGGAATATTACTCATAAACAAATACATTATGGAAAAATCTATTTATGGGATGTTATACATGACATTTGAGGGCACATTTCTAAAATATGGTCCATTATACAGGGGGTCCCAATTTCGACCTACATATCAAAGTTGTGATTTTTCAAATAGAACGCCTGAAATTTTATTGCATATTTGGATAAACCAATTCAAAAGAAAAAAATTGATATGACATACTATAGGGTTTTGGTAATTAGTTACTGAGATATAAGGTGTTTTGTCTACCACTATTGTGGTAGTTTTTCTCAAAAATTTCAAATGCATCACTCTGTATGTTTGTGCAAGTTTAGATTCAATTTTTTATAAGCTGTTTCTTGATACTAGACACAAGGGTTTTTACGGCTATTTTTCGGTTATTAGCACGTCCTTTATGGAACGGCTTAATTCCCTAAAATATCGCATCATCCTTGGAAACGAATAAATTGTTGATTAGTTACAAACTGTCAGAATTAGCTTTGTGAGCATTATTCTTGAAAACGTCTTTGAAAATGAATTTTTTTAAAGAAGAAGTGGTGAATATGGTGAAATGGTTTCCTAGAATCTCGCATTATATCTTGGCCTATATCTTGGCCTATATCTTGGCCTCCTAGATCACCAGATATGACATCGATAGACTTCTTTCTGTGGGGCTACGTTAAGCAAGAGGTTTATAGATATCCACCATCTACCCCGGAAAATATGAAGGAAAGGATGAAGGGTGCTTTGCTGAACATAAGGGAACACGTGCTGAGGGATGTGCAACGGTCATTTATTCCAAGACTACGGCTGTGTATTCAACATGGTGGAGATATTTTCGAGCAGTTTTTGTAGATTAGGTCTTGAGTAGTGATAGTTGTTTGTTTATGTTGTTGTTATAGTTGTCTTTCTCTATTACGCTTGAAGCCGCATACTGTTCTGATTGTTATTAGTTTTTACGTCAAATCTGTACTCTTAGGCCCGTATCGTCAGTCGTCCCTACAATTGTAGGGCGCCTTTATGGCCTCCTTGATTGCATTTTTTTCTACTTCTATGTGCCAGAACTCCATTTTGAGGTTATGTCACAAACATCTATTTGCATCAAATTGTGCTTGCTTTTGAGTTATATCATGTTTTATCAGCCTGAAATTTCCTACAATTTAAAAAGAAAACATATCTTCACAATAGGAGAGCGCTGACGCTGACACGGGACGAGTGTAATCTAGAAATTTTTGAAGGAGAGAAAAGAGTATGACAATCAAGGAGGCCATAAAGGCGCACTACAATTGTAGGGACGACTGACGATACGGGCCTAAGTGGCGATATGGAACTAGCCCACTATTTGTCTTTTGTTTTCATGGATGATGGGACTTTTTCCTTAATTTTGGTGTGTTGTTCTATTAAATGCTTAATAACTCAAAATCTAGTGATTTTATTGAAAAATTGAATCTAAACTTGGTAGAATATACAGGTTGACGCATTTGAAATTTTTGGGAAAAAGTACAATTCGCGTTTTTGACTACCCTGTATGAGCAGAAATGAAAATTCTAAAATTTAACAAATAAGACAAAAGCTGACGTGTGTAAGTTTTTTTTGATACAAAATCCAGCACTCCAAATTTCAAAATGGCGGATTGAGGGGTTGCCGAAGTGGACGGTTTTTCTGGACAAAACACCTTACATCTCAGTAGCTAATTACCAAAACCCCATAGCAGGTTATATCAATCCTCTTCTTCTGAAATGGTTTATCCAAATATGTATTAAAATTCGAGGCATGCCATTTAAAAAATCACAACTTTGATATGTAGGTCAAAATTGGGACACCCTGTATAATTGGCAATATTTTAGAAATGTGCCCTCAAATGTCATGTATAACATGCCATAAATGTTTCCAAAATGTATTTGTTTATGAGTAATATTCCGTCCACACATGGATGGGCCACACTGTATATATTATATATATACATATATATATATATAATATCAAATAAAGACATTGAAACTGCAATAGAGCTATTAAATAATGATATAAAAAACATAATAAATTAGTTAAATGTAAATAAACTTAAACTAAACACGAACAAAACATATATTCTAAGAGGAAAATCTTTAGATCAAAATACGATAAATCTTACAACTAGTCATGAAAAAATTGTATCAATCGAATCATATATATACGTAGACACTGAATTAAAATTTGAAGAGCACCATGAATATATTATTTCAAAAATGTCCAAGAAAATAAATTACTTGTATAGAATTTCGCATAGCCTAAGCGTTTATACATTCTTCCTCATTTGTTATATTGTTAGACTATTTTGTTCACTGCAAATAAAACTGTATTTTCAACATTACAAATATGACAAATTAAAGCTATGAGAATCATCTTAAATAAAAATAAATATACTAGAATAAATTTTATGCTGAAAGAACTACAATGGTTAAATATCAAAAATTTCATAACCTACTTGGTTTCATTTTCATATTCAAGTTAAAAAATCATCTTCTACCAAATCTCTTAGAAAATTTTATTGTATTGAACAACGAGTACCACAATTATTCTACTAGAGGAAGTATAGATTTCATTTACAAAACTGCAGTAGCAATATAACGAGCAAGTCAGCATTTCAAAAGGGATTCTACGAGTTTAATAAATTAAGTAATGGTATCAAGATGTGTGTCAGTTTGAAAATGTTCAAAGGGAAACTGAAAAAATGTCTCATGGAAAACCAGAATTCATAGTAGTGAAATTTTGTATAAAAATATATACATATAGTCTTGAAGACATAATATAATTTGTGATATACTGTGTAATATGGATATTATGGATATTGTAGCATTAATGCTAAATAAATCTCAAACAAACAAATTGTTCATGCGTTATACCGTTAATAAATATTCACTCCCGATTTTACCTTGTTCTGATCAAGCACACTATTTTATAGGGAACCTGGACTATGCAGAAGTGGCGAAGTATAAAAGTAGGCGACATAGTGAGGGTCCGTTGCGACGAATCCTTTCCAGCAGATTTAGTCTTGCTGTCTTCCAGTGACCCAGAGGGAATCTGCTATATCGAGACCTCCAACTTGGATGGAGAATCCAACTTGAAGATCAGACAGTCGCCTATCTCCACCAAGATGCTGACAGATCCGAAGGATCTGATCGAACTCGGAGGAACGGTCAATGCTGAACCACCTACCAGTCTCATATACGATTTTTCTGGTACGTATCTCGTAAGACTTTTGGCTCCTCCAATGTTACTTTGAACCATAGTGTTTGTTACACTTTAAAACAAAGCATTGTTGTTGTTGTTCTTGAAGATTTATTTACAATGTCAATTTTGTATAATGATTCGGCTACATATTTTTCTTCAATCCATTTTCTGTAATTTTACATTCTTGTCCATTAAAATTAAAATTACGTCACTATGTATTTTGATTAATCATAAAGTGATTTTTTAACTTCACCTTAAACATTTTTAAATTCGAACTCTGTTTAATATCATTAGTCAATTTATTAAATTTAAATACTCCCTTTTGGAATATAGATTCACTAGTTATGCTACTATTACAATTGTTTTTTTTTTTTTTTATATCGAAACAGCCGCGCAGGCAGAAGCCTAAATGCCGGAACACCGCGGCTGCTATGATGATCCCAAAGAAATTTTGTTAATACGATTTTTGAACTGCTTAAGGTTAGTAGAACTGGGAAAAGCTTCCTCATGTTCCACAATCTAGACACCCTCGGGACAAAGGAGCGGTCGTATCGGCCAGTTCTGGATGTACGAAGATTGACACGGTTAGGATGGGACGCCGAAGTCAGGCGGGTCTGTCTGGCAGGCACATCGCGCGGCGGCATCATGGAAGAGAGCTCTGAGGAGCAAAGCCCGTTGGTGTAGCGATAGAAAAGAGCTAGATCGCCGACCGCCCGCCGGTGCGAAAGAGTCCCGAGACTGTCTGTTAGAGAAGAGTCATCGATCAGTCGGACCGCCCTCCTCTGGACAGCATCGAGCATGGACAATGTAGTCGGGGCGGCAGCACTCCAAATGTGTGAGCAATACTCGAGGCTAGGCCTTATCTGGGCCTTGTATAGAGTGAGAAGGTCATGCGGAGAAAAGTACTTCTTAGCCCTAAACAGATAGCCTAGCTTTTTCCCAGCAGCTGCAGCTATTGAAGAGACGTGTTCGTGCCAGATCAGGTCCTCGGTGATCTGGACTCCGACCAGCCGAAATGAATGGCTCTTTGGTAGGACTCGACCGTCCATCGAAACTGTATGAGAGCTAGGACGCTTTTTGTTCGTCAAAGTACAGTACTGTGTTTTGGAAGCATTGAACTGCACAAGATTGTTGCGTCCCCAAGCAGTGATAGCCTCCAGGTCTCTTGTCAGAGAAGAAGTCGTCGCTAGTCTTCTTTTTTCCAGCCGTTTTTGAGATATTTAAATTTTTAAGGTTCGATGCATTTTTAATCATTTATGATAAAATAACGTTAAAAAGTCAGTATCTCGATAATTTTTAGAAGTAGGCTGTGCCTGCAAATATTTTCGAAATTGAAAACAGAATAAGGTTAAACGTTAATTAGTTGACAGTTAGTTTTGTTGTCTGTTGAAACCTGAAATGTTTTTTTTGCAATTGCGAATGCACGAAATTTAGTTTCTTTTACCTGTTTTTTTTGTAAGTTTTATAAAAATACCATTTTTATTCTCCAATCAAGAGTTAGCGGATATGCATTTTGTGTATGGCTTTGTAAATGGAAACGTAGCAGAAGCAGTCAGAGAATACGCACGAAGATTTCCAAACAGACGACATCCAACTCGCTCAGTATTTGTAAGAATGCATCGCCAAATAATTGAAAATGGTTTTGGAAATCTCCAAAGAAATCAAAACATAAATGTTCGTCAGCGAAGATTTGCCCGTATGATTCTGCGTGAGTTTAATAGAGATCCGACCACAAGTGTTAGGAGAGTTTCTGGTGCCTTGGGAATTTCAGCAAGCCATGTTCACCGTGTTCTTAGAAATGACCATAGACGTCCTTACTATTTGCAACCTATGCAAGGACTACAGCCAGGGGACGGAGAACGAAGAATCACATTTTGTCAGTGGATTCTTGATAGAACTGATAATAATAGGGAGTTTTTAAGTAACGTTTTATGGACCGCCGATGAGTCATGCTTCACTAGACGTGGAGTGGTAAATTTTCATAATCAACATATTTGGTCGCATGAAAATCCGCATGCAGTTCGGGAAAGGAATTTGCAGCATGAATTTAGTGTGTACGTGTGGATTGGTATCTACCGTAATCGACTATTTGGACAATACCTTTTGCCTGAAAGGTTAAATGCTGCGAACTTCTTGGAATTTTTAAAGGCTGAACATGCAAATATGTGGGATGATGTTATGTTAGATTTAAGAAGATTGGCCTGGTTCCAGCTTGATGGTTGTCCAGCTCATTATTCGAGAATAGTTAGAAACTGGCTGGACGAAAATTATCCAGAAAGATGGATCGGCCGTGGAGGACCAGTCGCCTGGCCTCCACGATCCCCTGACCTAAATCCATTAGATTTCTTTGTGTGGGGATTTCTAAAAGAAAAAGTGTACCAGACTCCCGTAACCACAAGAGATATGCTAAGAGACAGAATCAGGAATGCATGTGATGAAATAAGGCCTTATTTGAATAATGCTATACCACGTTCGATCATTCGTAGATGTGAATTGTGTATTGAACAATTAGGTTTACATTTCGAGCAACTACTTTAGATTTTGTATGCTGGTCCTAACTATCCAATAGCATTTTAGTTGTAAATAATTAATTTAATTTGTTAAAAATAATATTGGAAAATTAAACAAATTAATATTCTGTTTTTTGTGTTTATTTGGAGTTAGGAATTATTGCTGTGTTTAAAAACACAATATAAACGATCATCTTAATTACTTGTAATGCCCAAATCGAAAATGTAAAAAAAAATATTATTTTCCTATAAATAATTAAAAATGCATCGAACCTTAAAAATCGAAATATCTCAAAAACGGCTAACTATAACGAAAACTCACAGGAGAGCTCTTTTATGTTCAAAAGTGCGAAGAATGAGTTTTTTTATTCAAAAAGCAAAAAATTGCACTAAGAAAAATTTTTCGGTCATTTTAATTCACTACAGGTACAGTAGAGAGCGCCCTCTAGCGGCTACAGTAAAACTATGCCCATGGTTCGTTTTGTCGTACCAAAAAACCCTTGTATACCAATTTTCACTATTATACATCAAATATTTAAAAAAAACTATTTTAGAAACTAAATTTAAACACCCTGTATTTCGGAAGCCACGCATTTTTCGACCCATGTTTATATAGACTTTATGCATTAATTTTAAAAGTTCTATCGGATCTTAAAGTTATGCAACAATAAACTGAAACACCCTGTATAGCAAGATATTTAAATGACTCGACTACTTCAATTTTTTCATCATTAATCATGAGTCTAATAATTGTATTGTCACCTGAATGTTGCCATACATTTTGTTTTATTAGTGTTTTAGTGTTTAATTTAATTTTATTGACATTTAACCAATTCATATTCTTTTCAATATCACCGGTTCTAAAGCAGTATCCAAATGCTTATGTGCTATATGTATATATACATTATATATATATATATATATATAAGTGTATCGTCCACAAATATTTGAGTTTTGCAGTGTTCTAAAATGTCAGAGATATAATTTTTATGAATAATAAATAGTAACGGCCCTAATTTACTCCCCTGTGGCACCCCTACTGATATGTTTTGAACACTTCACATAATACTTCGAACTTTAGTTTTTTGACTTATATTTACTGAATAATTTTGTAAAATGTATAATACTGATCTTTTAAAGCCATTGTGACAAAATTTCATTAACGATTCTTCCCTATCTATAGTCTCAAATGCCCCTTTGAAGTCTAAAAATATTGTTACAACATATTCTTTCTCATCTATACTTCTTCTCCAGTCTTCCACCACCATTTGGATTGCCGTTTCTGTGGAACATTTTTCTAAATCCAGCTTCATTTTTTATCAAAATTTTGGTTTCTTCAATGAATTCTATGATTTGTTCGTATATTATCCCTTCGAACAGCTTCTCGACATCGGTCGCATATTTGTATACAGCTGAGAATTTTGAACTTTTGGCACAGAAGTAATGGTGGAACACCTTAATTTTGATGTACTAAGCAATGATTCACCAATAATAATAATTTCTCTCCAATTATATTGAAACAATCATGTAGAATATTTTTTGAGAAATTCTCACTTGGATTTTTATTAGATTTCAATTTTGAGATAGCTTTTCTTAGATTGTTGATGCTAATTCGTCGCTGGAACGACAAAGAGACGTAAGTCCAATTCAGCTAGTTTACAGGACACGCGCTTTACGCCCGTTTATCCTTTTAGCACTAGTAAGAATAGGAGATCCGTACACATGCTGATTTGCCATATAACGTTAACTATAAGGAGCGATTCGCCACTTCGTCATATTATAGATATCCACTTTTAGAGATTTTTGATGGTGCTAATTCCAAATGAGCATTTTCCGACTTACCTTTGTCTTTCCAGCGACGAATTGTCCTAAATTGCTTCATGGATGAATTCTGACATGCAAGGAATGGACATAAGTTTGGATTACCGTCATCAATCGTCTTCACTATTTTATTTACACTTTCTATAAAATAAGTGTTCATTCTTTCTGCTATACCCCATCTTCGAAATTAGGAGAAACGATACCCTTTAATGTTTTCCACATGATTTTAGAATTATTTTTATTGCTATCGATCTTCTTATCGTAATATTTTTCTTTTCCCCCCTGAGAACTGCTACACACTCATTTCTTGATTTTGTATATTGTTTCCAATCATTTTCACTTTGGGTTACTGAAAATTTGCTGTAGTCGTTAACGCGTTTTAATTTAGACTCCTTGAATATCTATCATATATTATTTTCTTGACCATAGCTTCACTAATATATTTATCCATATTATTCATAATTTGGTCGAAGTAGTAGTCCACATTATCGATAATTTCGGATATATTGTGTTGAAAAAGTGTTTCTCGTAATTTTGTGAATTGAATGACTGTAATTTCTTTCATTTTATTTTCATTGAACATATTTCCTACTTCAAAATATATCCATGAGTGATCACTTATCTTTGGGGTATGCTTAACTTCAGCATTTAGATTTTGTTCATTAGTTATGAGCAAATCTATTTTTGTTTTCAAAAAGTTCGTAATCCTTGTATAGTCACGTATTTTCTGCCAAAATCCATGGAAGTTTAGTACTTGTTTAAATTTTGTACTAAGCAACACCTGAAGCTTATCCTGTTGTTTACATGTCCACAGCCCCATGTTTGTCTGGACCATCAAAGCACATGTATACTAAGTGACATATAAATCCGAACACCCAGTTTAAATGGTTTTATTTTAATAAAAGTTGGTGAATGTATTTATCTTACTGTAAATAACAAGTGAAAAAATTGTCAGCCTTATCAGTTGGACATTCCGGTTATTATACTGGTTTTTTTTAATTCACTAACGCTCTAAAAATGAATATTTCAGCCGCAGTAAAGAATCAACGTTGGCGGATTTTGGTTCTTGACATCCTTTACGATCGGTTACGATGCCTAGAGGACGGAGAACTGTACGATTTCGTCAACTTAGTGAGTTTGATAGGGGCCGTATAGTGGGACTTCGAGAAGCTGGACTTTCTTTTCGGGCAATTGCATTTAGAGTGCAGAGAAGTGTAGACACTGTGGTTAGGTGTTGTCAGGCATGGCTTCGAGAAGGCCGTACGCAAAGAGCAAGGGGCACTGGACGCCGTCGTAGAACAACAGACCGTGAAGATCGCCGCCTAAGATTATTGGCCTTAAGGGACCGTTTCTCCACTACCAGGTCCATTGCAAATGAATGGTTTGCAGAACACGGAAGACCTATTGGCATGCGAAGTGTTTACCGACGAATGAGAAGTTTTGGCTTGTTTTCATACCGGCCACACTGGGTCCTCCCTTTAACTCGAGAACACCGACGTAATCGCCTTGAGTGGTGCAAGACAAAGGTCACTCTGGGATCAGGAATGGAACAGTATTGTCTTTAGTGACGAGTCTCGATTTTGTTTAGGCATGCACGATGGTCGTGCCAGGGTTAGAGGGCGACGTGGTGAAAGGAGGAATCCACAGTTTTTTTTTGAAAGATATGTTCATCACACTGTTGGAGTTATGGTTTGGGGTGCTATAGCTTAGGGATCCAGGTCACCTTTAATCTTCATCAGAGGTAACATGAACGCGCAGCGTTATATCCACGAAGTTCTAGAACCCCATCTTTTACCCTATCTTGACACCCTGGCAGATCCAACTTTCCAACAAGATAATGCCCGACCACATGTTGCAAGAGTCACAATAGACTTCTTTCAACATAATGATGTCACATTGTTACCATCGCCACCAAGATCTCCCGACTTATCCCCAATTGAGCACGTGTGGGATATGATGGGTAGGAGATTGCTCAATTTGCAACGTCCTCCTCAGACTCTAGAAGCACTTCGAGAGGAGTTGGTGGTTGCCTGGAATGAGATACCACAGGAGGACATTGACCACCTGATCAGAAGCATGCCTAGGCGCGTTGGAGAATGCGTAGCACATCAGGGTGCATCCACACATTATTAAAGGTCAAAGGGCTTTAAAGCAGTGCAATCATTTTGAAATTTTTATCATTGACTTATTATGCTTCATTAAGTACTTATACAAAATTTTATTAAAATACAACCATTTAAACTGGGTGTTCGGACTTAGTATATTTAAAATTCTTCTTTATTGCAAAAGTCCGAACGGTGGCCACCTTCAGTACAAAATTGACAATCCTGTATACAATAAATATAAATAAATACATGTAGTTTGATTGCCCAGACAAACATGGGGAATTACTTTGGTGTTTCAATACTTAAGCAATCCATCATTACAGGCCTTCTGATTCAAGACAAAATCAGCGAGCCCCTGGGCCCTTATCAGCTCCTCCTGAGAGGCACCAAGCTGAGGAACACTGCCTGGATATTTGGAGTAGTTGTTTACACAGGTCACGAAACCAAACTGTTTCTTAATTTCACCAAGGTGCCCTACAAGCAGTCTTCCGTGGACAAGATCACCAATACCCTTATGGTTATCATGTTCGTATTATTTATATTGATATGCGTACTATGTACGTTTTTCAATTATTTCTACCATAAGGCTCTGAAGACACATTGGTACTTGGAATTGGAGGACTATAGCGCGGTGAGTTTCTTTTATTAATATACTCAATTACAAGTGTTACACCCAGAAAAAATAATTTCTTCAACTTGATTTTTTGGCAATGAGGTAGTCTTACATTAAGAATCAAACGATAACGTTTTCACGAAATTTTATTGACAAGTAATACGAAAAAAATTAATAATGTGTCGGTCGATCTAGCAGCTGAATACACAAACAAAGTTAAAGAAACTAGTAATAAAGACATACACATACATACCATATACACATATACTAAGTGACATATAAATCCGAACACCCAGTTTAAATGGTTTTATTTTAATCAGTTGGACATTCCGGTTTTTATACTGCTTTTTTTTTAATTCACTAACGCTCTAAAAATGAATATTTCAGCCGCAGTAAAGAATCAACGTTGGCGGATTTTGGTTCTTGACATCCTTTACGATCGGTTACGATGCCTAGAGTACGGAGACCTGTACGATTTCGTCAACTTAGTGAGTTTGATAGGGGCCGTATAGTGGGACTTCGGGAAGCTGGACTTTCTTTCCGGGCAATTGCAGTTAGAGTGCAAAGAAGTGTAGACACTGTGGTTAGGTGTTGTCAGGCATGGCTTCGAGAAGGCCGTACGCAAAGAGCAAGGGGCACTGGACGCCGCCGTAGAACAACAGACCGTGAAGATCGCCGCCTAAGACTATTGGCCTTAAGGGACCGTTTCTCCACTACCAGGTCCATTGCCAATGAATGGTTTGCAGAACACGGAAGACCTATTGGCATGCGAATTGTTTACCGACGAATGAGAAGTTTTGGCTTGTTTTCATACCGGCCACACTGGGTCCTCCCTTTAACTCGAGAACACCGACGTAATCGCCTTGAGTGGTGCAGACAACGGTCACTCTGGGATCAGGAATGGAACAGTATTGTCTTTAGTGACGAGTCTCGATTTTGTTTAGGCATGCATGATGGTCGTGCCAGGGTTAGAAGGCGACGTGGTGAAAGGAGGAATCCACAGTTTTTTGTTGAAAGACATGTTCATCACACTGTTGGAGTTATGGTTTGGGGTGCTATAGCTTATGGTTCCAGGTCACCTTTAATCTTCATCAGAGGTAACATGAACGCGCAGCGTTATATCCACGAAGTTCTAGATCCCCATCTTTTACCCTGTCTTGACACCCTGGCAGATCCAACTTTCCAACAAGATAATGCCCGACCACATGTTGCAAGAGTCACAATAGACTTCTTTCAACATAATGATGTCACATTGTTACCATGGCCACCAAGATCTCCCGACTTATCCCCAATTGAGCACGTGTGGGATATGATGGGTAGGAGATTGCTCAATTTGCAACGTCCTCCTCAGACTCTAGAAGCACTTCGAGAGGAGTTGGTGGTTGCCTGGAATGAGGTACCACAGGAGGACATTGACCACCTGATCAGAAGCATGCCTAGGCGCGTTGGAGAATGCGTAGCACATCAGGGTGCATCCACACATTATTAAAGGTCAAAGGGCTTTATAGCAGTGCAATCATTTTGAAATTTTTATCATTTACTTATTATGCTTCATTAAGTACTTATACAAAGTTTTATTAAAATAAAACCATTTAAACTGGGTGTTCGGATTTATATGTCACTTAGTATACATTAAAAATAAATCTCTATCAAAGTTTTAAATTCAAAGATACGGTAAAATCCATGATATATGAATTACGTCTAATTGGTGCGTAGAATTATCCGGGTAGGGAAAGTGCTAGCACCCCAAAAAATGACAAAACCCTAACCCCATACAACCCCCCCCCCATCCAATTTTTATGTCCTGTAGAAATGTTTCTGAGAATAATCAGGATGCTATGAAACGTCAAAAAGTGAATTTAGAGTGATTTTTATTTATACCACAACGCTTTTTAGTTCTTGGTATAGCAGCAACCTTGTGTGAACATTTCATGAACATTATAGACTGGCCAAGAAGTAGCGGACAGACAGACGGACCGACACACCGGAAATGAGTGAAATTTGTTTTTGTGATATACATATCATATGACATTCAAAGAACAATATGTCATTTTCGGTTTTTTCTATGATTACAGTACTCGTCAGCAACGTGGGACGTAAAGCTAATTGTTGCTACCCTTCAGAATGACCTTGACATTGAAGGTCTTGGGCTTCCGAAATATTACTTCGAATGAGTAAAGCAAATACTACTTTGAAACTCGTTATTCACCTTTTATCAACCGTCATTGATCCAGATGTTTGAGCGACTGCTGTTCTGCTTATTTCCTTTCTGAAATATGAAGGCAAAAGAAGTAGTCTCATTTGGAGCCATATGTCAACGATAGTTAGCCTCAAAGCTTTTGAAGCCATATCAACATCCGGCATGTACGACATAATTTATTCTCGAATTTTAGATTGACGTCCTTTACAACATATCGGGTTTTGTAATCCTATTCCACAACGTGATTCCAATATCATTGCAAGTTACCCTGGAGGTAGTTCGTTTCATCCAGGCCATGTTCATCAATGTCGATCTGGAAATGTACCATGAAGAGTCCGATATTCCAGCCAGTGCTAGAACGTCTAATTTGAACGATGAATTGGGACAAGTGAAGTATGTCTTTGCAGATAAGACAGGTAAATGCTGAATTTGCTCAGCAACTAATAAAATCTAAGGAAAGTACAGCATAGTGTAGTCCCAATGTTGCATGAAATGCTTTTGCTCATTTAACCATATTCTTTCCATGGTCAATTCATAGTACAGCTTTTATGATGTAGATCACCAATGCAGGCTGCAAAGTTGTGACTTACTTTTACACAGCACATAGGTTTGGCATTAATAACCAAGTTTTTTTAGTAACACATATACCAAAATCTTAACCGAGACAAGTTCATAAAAACTTTAAATAAACCATTCCGACCCTGCCTCCCTCCGCTCCTGTGAGTCAGTATCCACCACGCGGTGTACAGGTTAACCTAGTTTGTAAACGTAGTTATTGACTTGATGGTAGTTTACTGTGAGCATTTTCAATACCATATTGATACTCCGCGAGTGTATTCGAGTATTTCGACGTCACCGACGTCCGCGATATTTCAATCAGAGCGAAATGCCATACACCCTGTATAGGTTAAAACTTAATTTTCTTAGTATACATTCAGACTGGAATTTCTCTTTATGTCAGGTACCTTAACGAAAAACTCACTGCTTCTGAAACACATTGCAGTTGCAAGTAACACCTATTCGATAAACTCACTGGCAAATTCCAAACAACCTTTTCCAAGTGAAGTTCATCATTTACTCCTATGCATGACCATATGTCATACAGCCATACCAGAAAGGCAATCTGACGGAAAGATCAAGTACAACGCTGAGTCGACAGACGAGAGGGCTTTGGTAGATGCAGCTGCACTGCTTGGGTAATTTGACTTTCTTCCGTTCCTCCTTTCTTCCTTTCTCCCTTTCTCCCTTTCTCCCTTTCTCCCTTTCTCCCTTTCTCCCTTTCTCCCTTTCTCCCTTTCTCCCTTTCTCCTTTCTCCTTTTTCTCCCTTTCTCCCTTTCTCCCTTTCTCCCTTTCTCCCTTTCTCCCTTTCTTCCTTTCTCTCCCTTTCTCCCTTTCTCCCTTTCTCCTTTTCTCCTCTTCTCCTTTTTCCCTCTTTCCCTTTTTCCCTTTCTCTCTTTTTCCTTTCTCCCTTTGTTACTTTCTCCCTTTCATCCTTGCTTCCATTTTCCCATTATCCCATTCTCTCATTCCCCCTTTTCCCCCTTTCCCCTTTCCCCTGTCCCCTTTCCCCTTTTCCCCTTTCCCCTTTCCCCTTTCCCCTTCCCCCTTTCCCCTTTCCCCCATTTCCCCTTTCCCTTTCCCCTTTTCCCCTTTCCCCTTTCCCCTTTCCCCTTTCCCCTTTCCCCTTTTCCCTTTCCCCTTTCCCCTTTCCCCTTTCCCCTTTCCCTTTCTTCCCTTTCCCCTTTCCACTTCCACTTGCCCCTTTCCCCTTTCCCCTCTCTCCTCACCCCTTTCCCTTTTCCCTTTTCCCTTTCCCCTTTCCCCTTTCCCTTTTCCTCTTTCCTCTTTCCCGTTTTCCTCCTCTCCCCCTTTTCCTCCTTCCCCCTGTTCCTCTTTCCCCTTTTTCTTCCATTTTTTCCTTTTCCCCTTTACACCCACCCCCTTTTCCCCTTTCTTCACTTTGCGTAATGGAGGACTATAGTCAACGCCAACAAAGTGGCGTGCACGTCATCAAGGTGGGTGTGTTGAAAAATTTACATTGTTGCCAAACTTTTTGTAAAATAATAAAATTTATTATTTACATATCTAGGTTTATAAGCAATATTAACCTCAAATGAGAACAAAAATAATAGTATAATAAAATTATAGATCTGTACTTGCATAATCATTAAGTATGACAATTATTGATCAGATGACACTATGAAACTACCATATTTAATTGATAGCTTAAAGGTACTGAATAAAAATCCAAATGGGGTCCTCCAAATTTTATGCATGGTATTTATTTTACAGAATTCATACAGAAAAATGCATTATAAAATTAGGTAAGCTACTGGTGTAAGCTTTTTCTGTACAATAAAGTTAGTCGGAGTTTCTTTCTTCAGCGCTGTCTGAATCTGAATCTTCATCACTCTCAAAGTTGATTATTAAAGGTTCGATGTCTGGTCGATCAAAAATTCGTTCTCTTTCATACCATTTAAAAATTTCTTGCTCAGTATGTCGAACACTATTTTTCCACATGTCTGGGGTAACCGTTTGTAGAGCCTCGTTCCACATATCCAAACAGTCTTTTTCACTGTTACCATCTCTACCAATATGTCTGTTATAGTAACCTTTTGCTATGCCCCAAATTAACTCAATAGGGTTAAATATACAATGGTAAGGAGGCAGACGAAGAACTTTGTGCCCATGTGGTTCCGCCAATTCATCAATCACGTATATTTTAGGTGGTTTGTTTCTAAAAAAGCAGTTATTTTAAGAATAGGAATAAACAAAAGAAATATAAACTGTCGACCAAAATATATATATAATTAAGAAGCATTATGTACCGAGCAACAATACTCAATAGCTCTGTTTTAAACATTCTGTTTAAAAATGGTATGTTTTGATTTGTCAACCAGTCTTGGATATTTTTTTTTGTCCATGCATTGTTGGGCACTTTGTTCAATATCATGCTGTGATAAGGGGCGTTATCCAGTATAATCATAGATGGACTCTCCAATTTTTCTAATAACTGATGTTGAAACCATTTCAAAAAATTGTCCTGGTTCATCTCTCCATGGTAATCGCTCAATTTTGTTTTCGAAGAAAATATCGGTTCACTACCCTCAATAAACCCATTTTCATTTCCAGCATGTAATATAATGTATCTAAAATATATTAGTTTTAAATTTTATAGTGCAAATTGTGTAAAAGTACATACCTTTTACCATCTGTTTTAATAGCTTTCACGCTTTTTTGGTTTCCATTTTGCCAAGAGCGACCTATGGTCCCATTTTGAAATATCCAAGTTTCATCGAGGAAGACAAACTGGTATAAGGCCTCAACCTTGGCTTGATTGTATTGCCTTAGAAATTCCACCCTTTTCAAAGCTATACTTGGTAGTTCCATAAGCCCTCGTCGCGGATTGTCCTTAAGCCACTTAAATCCAAGATCTCTAAGCAACCGCCTTAAAGACGTGGCACTACCATCAAATAATGCCCTATCTCTTAATCGAGACCATAAAGTTTGTATCGTAACTTGTTCTTCTGAAACCATGTGTAATATGACATTATAATTTAGTTAACAAATTAATGCAAATTTCTGATAAGTTATTATAATAAGATCTTACTTTTGTGATACATATTATAGATCACTTCTCGAATGGCACTTGTATCCAATGTCGCTGTGTTGGTTACACGTTTAATATAACTCCGCTTTTTCTTGGGCGATTCTAAATTTGCATCACTTTTCACACCCTCGGAAATACGACTAACTGTCCTTAAACTAATTTTTAAAGCAGCAGCAACACGCTACAAAAAATGAAATAAAATTTCACTATTATTAATATACATTACATATAATTATTAGTAATCTACCTCTTGAACAGCATTTAAAGGCAACAAAGGCCCGTTGTTGTCCCTTTCTTGCTCAAAGTAGTGTATTAACGAGGCCACGAGTTTCTTACACCGACTATTTAACTGTTTGGGCATCTTTATATACCAAAATTGCCTTTATCTACTCGTAAAATGAATAATTTTGTTTTGAAACAAACAGTTGTTGATTTACAGTATGCGGGGCCAAAGGATTTATAAAGATTTGAAATGCCACAAATTGATTCAGTGTCAAAATTAATACAAATGTCAGTTTCCAGTTTAAATAAGTTTCAAGGTGACAATGTGTCAACGCTGCGAAATCGGTTTAGTGCGTTTACATGTCGATAAGTGATTGGAGCGTTTGCAAAACATTTTATTTCGCATAATGCGTCTAAATTTATCAGAAAGCAACTTATGTGATATTTTAATAACAATGTTTATATGACTATTAACCATAATAAGAGAGTAATGACCATTTTACAATTCATATATCACATTAATATGAAACTGCAATAGAGCAATTGTTTGTGATAGAAACCTAGGCATTAGGTCGGGGAATTTTTATCGTGATGACGTGCACGCCACTTTGTTTGGCGTTGACTATATGTAATTTCAGAAGGATTTTAAAATATAGGTACATTTTCCAAGAGCGTACTCACGATGCCATCGTAGTGGATGTGAGAGGCATCAGGTCAGTTTTCCAAATCCTCTGCACATTGGAATTCACCTCTGCCAGGAAGATGATGTCCGTGATTGCGAGAGACAACCAAGGAAGGATCAGGATGTTTTGCAAAGGAGCAGATGATGCAATTGTAGAGAAGGCGTCTCTATCCGGGAACAGAAATGTTCACAGATTGATCAAAACGGTAAGATTTTTTACTGGGCTTACGCATTTGCAATGGGCTACCAAATCACATTAAAGTGTGTGGAGATACAAATAATTGTAAGGCTAAGCTTAAAAAATTTCTTGCAAGTAAATTTTATTATTAATTTGTTTAACTATGAAATTCAAATCTCAGCCATCTACGAAAAACTGTCCAAATTAGACGCTAATAAAGGACCTGGACCTGATGGTGTACCTCCGTTGTTGATTAAACATTGTAGCTTTCTGATTTCTAGACCTCTATTTTATATTTTTAATCTTTCGTTGAAAAGTGGAACTTTTCCGGAATGTTCGAAAACAAGCTTCATTACTCCAATACTGAAATCTGGAGAACCTTGACAAGTCAAAAATTATCGACCTATCAGTAAACTGAGTTGCATTGGAAAGGCATTTGAGAGCGTAGTGTGTGAATTTTTTCCGCAAATTTGCAAAGTAGTTTTATAAGTCAACAGTTTGGATTTATTTCAAAACGCTCCACAGAATTAAATCTTTTAACATTCACAAACTATGTTTTGGAATCCTTGGAGGAAGGTTACTCTACGAGTATTTACGTAGTTTACACAGATTTTTCTAAAGCATTCGATAAGGTCAACCATGAGATCTTGATTAATAAATTACATTGTCTAGGACTTTGCGGAGATCTTTTATCATGGCTGAAGTCTTACCTCACTGACCGAAAACAAATAGTCCGTATACAAAGCTTTCAATCAACTGAGATTAGTGTGCCATCTGGAGTACCTCAAGGTACCCATCTGGGTCCTCTTCTTTTCAATATATACGTGAATGATATTATATACGGTTTTAAGTCTGTTAGTTTTATAATGTTTGCAGATGATTTGAAATTATTCTTAAAAATCAAATATAATATTGATTGTTTGAATATCCAAAATGATTTAATGGTCTTCAGCCGTAACAGGTACCCCATTGATCATACTTATACCATCAAAGGTTGTCCTCTAAAGAGTGTATCCCAAGTTCTTGACCCAAAATTATCCTTTATTACCCATATAAATATGATTGTCTCTAAATCTCTTCAGCTGTTGGGATCTATAGAACTATGTGCTAAGGATTTTAATAATATTCAGTCATTTACAACAAAACATTATTATTAAAGATATTATCTTTTATTTTATACATAAATGATTTTACCTGCCATAGTCAAAATATGCAAAATTCAAATTTTCGCCGATGACACTATGATTTATATAAGTACTAAAAATATTCAGTCTGGTATCTCTTATATAAATGAAGATGAAGACTTGAAGCTTGTCTCAAAATGGTTAGCATCTAACAGACTAAAATTAAATGCAAGTAAAACGAAAGCCTTGTTAATCGGAAAAAAACAATATACAAATGTTCAACTGAATGTTGATGGTGAAAATATTGAATTCGTAGAAAATTTTAAATACCTGGGAGTTTTTGTTGACTCTCGATTAATTTTTGATATTCATTATGAAAAAGTTATAAATAAGATTAGTAGTAAAGTGGGATATTTATCGAGAGTTTCTGGATGTCTGAGTTCATATAGCAGAAAAAATATCTATAATACCATCATTCTTCCAAATTTCTTGTACTGTTCGACTATTCTATATATAGCAAATAATTCCATTTTTGAAAGACTGCAAATTTTACAAAATAAGTGCATGAGAATAATTCTAAATAAAGATAAATATACTCCAATTAGGCAAATGCTTAGCAAATTAAAATGGCTCAATGTAAAAAATTTTATCAAATATCTTGTAATGATATTCATTTATAAAGTAAAAAATAATATATTTCCATCAAGTCTAACTAATTTAACATCATCAAATGTCGACCATCATTTACATAATACCAGAAATAAAGATGACTTCCATTTAATGACCAAAAAGTATAACATATGCTACAAATCTGTATTCCATCAAGGGTTGATTGAATATAATAAATTATACTCGGAGATAAAAGACCAGAAAACTTTGACAAAATTTAAAGTAAAATTGAGAAATCACTTGTTAAATCTACAATTATAGGTTGCCCAGCATTTACATCATACACCATATGGCTTGAATTTACTAGTTCTAAGTTGTTTACAATTGTTCTGTTTATGTAGCCAAATGTGCTAAATAAATCTTTCTACTACTACTACTACTACATATCTATTCCGTCATTGAAAGCTCTCTCAATATCTCAACCCTTCAGGTAAGACGGAATCAGAGGGACCTGTCACTGTTTTGTAATATTTTGCACTCTTTTAGGGTTGCTCAAGAACTTGTGAAAAATATTAATCTCGATGTGCCTTCTCGTCAAACAAGACTGAATCAACCTTTTCATGTGCGATCATTTCGTACTAATTATGCTAGTAATTCCTTCCTGTCTAGATCTTTAAGGTTAGCAAATCAGTATTCTAATAAGTTGGATTTCTTCAGAAGTCAGAAAACATTCAAAATTCAACTAGATTCCTGTCTGTAATATTTAATATTTGATTTCCTCATATATTTAAATTTCAAATTAAATTCGTTTCAATTTAGAAATGATCTGAATTGTAAAGTGTTGTGATTTTTTAAGTGTTAAATATCTAAGTCAAAGTAGGGTTAGGTTTACATTTGATCTTCTATGCTGTACTTTGATTGGGCAGTCGCTCGTTGATAAATAAATAAATAAATAAATTATGTCGTCTATATTTTATGATTTATTTGTTTTATACATATATTTATTTTCTGATGCTTTATTACTTTCGACTCTGTCGAATCCTTTACATGCATATATTGTACTCGTAATGTCTCTCAGGATAATAAAGAATCAGATTTTGAATTTGGATTTGAACGGTCTAATTAAATAATTTTTTAGGTAGACAAATACGCAGAGGAAGGTCTAAGAACGCTATGCTTCGCTTATAAGGACGTCTCCACGCAAGAATTCGACCAATGGAAGATCCTCCATGACGCTGCCATGAACAATTTACATCGGAGGTCAAGCGATCTCGCCATAGTGGCTGATCAAATCGAGCAAAACCTCACGATCATGGGAGTGAGTGGGATAGAAGACGAGCTCCAGGACGGGGTTCCAAACACGATAGCCTCTTTGAGGGAGGCCATGATTAACATTTGGGTGCTCACTGGAGACAAGCAACAGACTGCCATCAACATTGGGTATGCAGTACAATCATTTTTTTACATAAAAAGCCTTAGGTACCCTTCTCACAGAAAGTAACTTTTTGCATAATCTTATTTGAACAGGACCCATTTAAACGAATGTGCGTGTTTCCAAGTCCAAAGCTGCATAAGAAATGTGAAAAGTTGTTTTTTTTTTCACGTAGAACAAAGCCTTTTTTCTGGGTTTTTGACCATCCTGAATAGAAAAGAGTCCTATAGGCTTTACTCTGAATTTGATGGTTTTCAAGATATAGGCGATTAAACATTTCAAAAAGTGCAAAATTTGCCTTTTTGGGAACCAATACGAAAAAACGAAAAACGTTTAGATGGTATTATTACAGTGAACCCTTAGTTGCGGGAGAGATGCAGCTGACGGCCACCCCGTGCTGCGACTATATCAAGGTGGGTGGACCATGAAAGCCGTGCTCTTTGTAAGACCAAATTTATTAAAAAGTCGTAGTTACTTCCATGCCATGATCAGTTCTTTCTACTCACACTAGCACTCATCGAACTTGTTTTTATTTTTTCATTTTATTAATATCGGACGTCGACGTTGAAATTTTAATACGCGCTCACAACAAAACGCAAGTTTTCAACTAAATTAACTATAATTTCCTTTAATCTTTTTCACTTTGAATTGATATATAAGTATCTATTTATGAGGAAAAACACATTTTTGTTTGAATTGAGATACGCATACCGTCTAATTTTTTGCCATTTTAATAATTAATAAATATTATTGGGATCGGGCAACGATAACCTTTGCCAACTTTCTGTCAAGCTTTGAATGTGAAAGTTAATAGCGAAACCATGCATGGATCTTAAAGCCTATATCTTATTCGACAAGTAAGACACTGCTTTATTTGTATCTTATATTTCTTAGACAGTTAACATTAAAAGACCATTATTTACTTAATTTTCTTTTCAAACTTCTCTTTTTACAGTCGGGATATACCTGCCTGTGTTCTTGTACGCATTGTAATAAAAACTGTTTTTGTGATTACGCCGTGGAAGTCTTGCATTAACTTTACTGCTCTTTCTGCTGTATCGTTAACAGCTCTAGGTGTTGTATTCTCAGCGTGTTGAAAAGAATCATTATGTGACCATGAATTTGGACCTTCGTCGAGAAAATTGTCATCAATTTTGAATCGACCGAACAATGACTTGCTTTTGAGTGGAACAAAGTCTTCAATATTTTTCTCTGATATGAAAAAACGAAGAATAATGCCACGCCTTTTTCTATAAATAAGTGGAAATGGTAGGGTGATTCCTCTTCCCTTGTTTTAAGTTAATTAATGAATTAATAAATTACTATAAATAAAATCTAAGGATCAGTTAAAGCAAAACAGCTGTCAAGAGGCGTGCAAATTTAGGCGCTAATAAAGCGGAGAGTAGGAGGGGGGTTTTAAGAGCGCCAGTGGCTCAAGACGGATTAAGTCTCAAAAATCCCCGAAAAGAAAAGAATCTAATAGTAATGATGAAAACCAAATTAACTGTATACAGAGAGCCAAATAATACAAGATATTTAAAAAGAATCACAACATATTGCCAAAAAAGTAGCACATATGCTCCGCCACTGGAGTGCAAGTTAAAAGAAAATATGTTATTAAAAACTACCTGACAACGTATACCATGATGCACGTACGAAGGCTTTACAAATATAGGTCTTACAAACATTTCAACGCCTAAAATTAATCTTATCTGGACAACGGTCTTATCTGGATAATGGTCTTCTTCCAGCTACAGCTCTAGGTACAGCTGAGATGTCCGCATCTTACAAATACTCAGGTCAAAAAAACAGTGGCCAGTAGTGAGCAGTGACGTTAGAAACGTCACAAGGTAGGGGCTGCTTGCCTCGTTTCCAAAATTTCTGGTATAAAAAACCCTAGAGAGAGAAAAAGACTGTTTAAAAGTCTACTCTCTACTCTATGTCTGAGACAGAACTACTCTTTTAAAAGAATCAAAACTTGAAGAAAAATCCATGTACAGTCCCTTTTACAAGAAAACTACTTTTCTGTCTGCAAGGGAAAGAAAAGATAAAAATATAGCACATTGATATACCCTCATAAAGTTATTCCTTGTTCTAAAATAAGTTATGGCAGCTCAAAGTTCGAAATCATGATTAATATAATGTAATAAGGCCAAACAAAATCAAGAACACACTAAGAATTTCAGTCAGCAACAATCAACATATCAATATCTAAAAAATACAAAATTAAAATGTTACTTGTTCATCAGGGCTTTTTTAAAGGGGAAGAGATGGCTTCCAACAAAATCGGCTGCGAAACAGCTACAAGGCAGCTACAAAACAAAACTGGAGGAGTGTGCATGGTGGTTCTCCACAATAGCTTTCCACTAAAAGGACTCGGATATTGAACAAACTTCTTTAGGACAAGCATTGAAGGACGTAGTCCGATGGTATACAAACAGAGAATTTACCGCTGGAGGTTAAAATCCCATTACAAAATGGACGGGGTAGTACCCACCAACACAACTAAACGTAAGGTACAAAATAAAAGGGTACTACTCCATTATCTGGTGCTTGGGGCGTTAATATCCCAAAATCTGGAAGTTAACGAAAAAAATGCCCGCACACAACCAAAATCACAGCGGAAAAGCAAAAGTAAAAAGGCGCTGGGCGCGTCGGTACGCAGTCAAAAGAAGGTATCTTGATAGTAAATCACATTTTAAAAGAACGTAACTTGATAGTAAAACAAATTTTAACAGAAGGTATCTTGATAGGAAATTAAACATTAAAAGATAGTTAAATGAATGCCCTTGAAGAAGGTGAAGTTGATAGAACGAAATGTCCCTATACTGCTAGTACGTATGAAGTCACAGGGCGGAGCGCTGGTTGCCACTGGACAGATTGTAGACAGAAACAAATCTGTCTACGAGGGACCAAAAGTATTTTTTGAGGAAATCTCTCAGATAGAAGAAAGATTTCAATACAATATTGAGTCGCTGAGAATGACAGATAAAATAAGTGAGAAATTCTACAATCAATAAACTATGAAATTTACCAAAATAACATCATTAAAAAGGGTTTGGTCTAGGAATGGGCACTCTATAATTAATAAAGAGAAATTCAAATTACTCATAAGTGAACAAAACAGTAAAAAGAAACGTTACGTGATTTTAGCACGTGACAATAACTACCATCTAATCATACTGGTTTTGTTTGTGCGACTACAGACAGCCTATCTAGATCTATCGAAACAAGACAGTATAAGGTGCCATCTACTGCCAGAGTCGAAGTTTATGCTGGCTCATTTCAACTGCTAGCAAAATATATCGGAGTATTAAAAGAAGACAAAGGACAATCAATTCGACAGACTTACCATAAAGTGGCCCAGAAAGTTCTTCTTCCGAAATTAGCAATAATTTTTACTTGTTTCCTTTTTTACGTTGTCGTCAAACAGAGATAAGACAGGGACCTCATCTGTCAAATACCATAAATTTTGGAAGAACTTTTGTGAATGGTTTTGTCAATTCTTTCGTAAGCCTTCAATGCCTTTAACAAGCATAAATCCCGGTTAGGTGCTTTTACCGCTAAAGTACATTGCAACCACGGTCGCACGTATGTTGTCACGATGAACAGACAGATAAATAATAGAGCTGCGTTATCCTTATTAGAAAGTTTGAGCTGGGAACTTAGCAGCGCTATTTTTAATGAATTGATTGCTCTGGCCATCCATCGAGCTTGATGCCTGGCGAATGGCGGTCGATTCTAATTTTTTTTCTGTATCTCGGACAAAGAATATTATTGAAAGTTCTATTAATTTTTGATAGTCGTCTCTAGCAACTTCTTTGGTCATTTCATGTCGATAAAATTCTAGCAGCTTGTCAGTCTCTGAACAATTCAAGCATGATAGCTCTCCAGCATAAATCTGTATTTTCTCGGGAGCTACACTTTTCCAGCTGTCACGAAACTGTCTTAAACATAGGCATGGCAGAGCTTGTAGTCAGTTGGACGACCTTTGATTCAATCACGCCTTATAACATACTGACGGGTCGGCATTGCTACCTGTTTTATGTTTTAATATATGTTTCATTTTTTCCAGATACTCAAGCAAACTTTTAGAGCATTCGATGAAGCTGATCGTAATGAACTTATCGTCGTATAGGGAGACACGAAACGCACTGATTAACTGCATGCAGGTATGCATCGAAACAACTTATAAATATACAGGGTGTTCTAAAAAGCATTGTCACTAAAGCCCAAATGCAAAAGAGTATGTTAATGTTTACCCGATTGTCTCAGGAAGAATGTTATGTTTTTCGCGCGAGTGTACGTATCTACACAAAGATAATTCTAGTTCATAAACTACAGTCCAGACGACTCAATGGATTTTGAAATTTAATAAAATCGAAGTGTCCGATTTTAAACGAAAATTTAAGCTTCAAATGTTATATTTCATGGGCTACATCTTAAACAGCTTGATGGATTTTGAGATATGAGATGTTTCCAGATTTTCTTTGCACTGTAAGTGAGACCGAGTATATGTATTGGAATTTTATATAATCAAAATGGCGGATTTCAACCGAAAATTTCAATTTTGGTATTTCCATTTCACGGGCAACGGCTAAGTGGCTTGATGGTTTTAACATATGATATGTCTCTAGATTTTTCTTGACAGTGCGATTGACACTGGGTAGTTTATAAAATCAAAATGACTGGTTTTAAAGGCAAACTTCAACTTTGAGATTTCTCCTTCACACGCTTAATTTGTCATTTAACGTGTCCTTAAATTCGTCTTGATAGCACAACTGGAACTTTATTCCTTTCGGTTGCTTCAGTCGCTTTTTTGGTATTTTCGCGAAAAATTTTTAAAATGAGATATGTTTTTGATATATGATAATCACGAAAAACTGTCACTCATTTCCGTCGGTATGTCAGTCTGTCTGTTTTTTGGGTAACAGTAAATTTAAAATCTGAGATTGTAAAGCACTAAAGCGCTTCAAAACGGGACATCTCACCACCCCCATTTAATGTTTTTTAAAAATGACGCAGAAGCGTTATTTTAAAATTTTGAATTGATTTGGATACCTGGTAACCCTGATCAACTTATAAGCACATCGATGATGGTGTGGAAATAAGCGGGTTTCGTAAGTCTGGTTGCCTATAGGTTCAGCTTGACGCAAATATAAATGAAATAGTGATTCTGCGTTTTTCGCCTTGGTAGCACTGCATGTTCGTTAGTGCATTACAGGAAATTGAGCCTCATATGTTCTGTCGTTAAGGTAGTTAAATAAAAATTCAGACATTCGGACAGGAGTATAAAAATACTTTTCGCGCGCGCCTTTAACACTCTGAGCAAATTTGATAAAAATACTTTTTGACGAATAAAAAATCAGAGAAAAGCGGTTTCATTTGATTGAATGGAGATAGTACCTGCTCATTTACCGGAAGAGTATTTTTGACGAGCTGTGTACATCGCCCTTCTAGACAATGTAATCACTGATCTTCAGGAGCGACTATCCCCAGAGACACTTAATTTATTTAAGTTAGGTGTTTTTATTCCGAGAACCGCTCATACTAGTGAAGACTTAGGAACCGTTAAACAGTTGCTTGCAATCGCTCTTGGACTATGTTATGCCAACTTCAATATTTGTGAGCGAATATCGGCTGTGGATGGCAAAATGGCAGCGAGTGCAGAATATTCCGCGGTCGATACCTACTCTTATTGAAAATTGCGATGTAGAAATGAATGCCAACAACAAAGAGTTCTTATGTATCCTTGCTAATTTACCAGTTAGTGCACCGATAGCAGAAAGTCCTTTTCTATGTTCAGGAGGTTCAAGACGTGGTTACAAGCATCTACGGCAGAAGATCGCCTAATTAGACAGCAGCTTTTATACAGGGTAACAAGTCGTGACCAAAATGAAACATCATACACAGGATCGCACTTTAAGAGGGTCTTCTATGTAACATTTTTTCCTTCTTGTTTAGTTTTAAATTTGATTTTTATTGTTTAAAACACATTTAGACTACACCGTTCGGATATTGTGCGAAAAAATGTCGTTGCAGGCTTCAGATGATAAGCATCGTTTTTTACAGGATCTCGCGACTGATACATGGAGGGGCATGGACCTAGCCTTAGTCATAGACGGAAGAACCCTAGGCTTGGTGCTATCTCCTAGACTGAAGAACGAATTTATCAAGCTATGTTTAAGCTGCAAGGTAGTCATCTGTTGCCGAGTGTCGCCTATACAGAAGTCGGAAGTTGTGGAAACTATCAGGAAAAGCACGAAAGCTGTTACGTTGGCCATAGGTAAATTTCTTTCTTACAGGTTACCAATTGTAATTGTTTTTTTTTTATACTCCAACTACCACGAAGGCCTAAGGCCTAAGCAGCCATTGGGTACCGTGGGACTATAGGGGGATACATGGGAAAGGGGGAACGCCACACGGACTCTGGCGAGGGAACACGTGTGCATGCAACATGCACACATTCTGGCTCCGCCTACGAGATCCGAGGGTGGTACCTCCGCGTTCGACAGTCAGAGACCGTCTACCACCTACGGACAATCACAACATCCATAGCCAAGAGAAAAATTTCTCCTGGGACGGGACTCGAACCCGCACAGCGCACGGCGACTGATCAGGAGACCGAAGAGTCTACTACTGCGGCCACCGCTGCTGCTGGTTGTTCGTATCAGCCCTTTAGTGGATCACTAAAACAGATTAGGGTTGCACAATGCATCAAACGCTGCTGTAAATGTGGTGTGACTTATGAAATCCATGCGCAGATACACAAAAACGTTAGCAGTAGCGTACGATCAGTTATCAGTAAATGCCAAATGAGGTTAACATTAACGTTCACGACTAATAATAATTATAATAATAATAATGATCATAATAATAAAAAAAAAGCAGAATTTGAATTACAAAAGATACAGGCTGATGTAAAGATAGCACTAAGTACAGCCAGTAGTTCTGGGAGTGAGGAGGACCTACCACCTGGTAGTAGGCAGAGCGTACGTGAAAGTTCAGCTACAAGGTTGGAAGTAAAGTAAATGGCGAGAACAAGGATGAAGCTCGTCTATAAGCGGACCATAATGGCGACGTGAATGAGACTGAACAACAGGAAACATCCGAAATGGAAATTAGAATCCAAGCGAAGCTATTAGAGGTTCAAGCTATCGACATCAATGAACGAAATATACTAAGTGACATATAAATCCGAACACCCAGTTTAAATGGTTTTATTTTAATAAAATTTTGTATAAGTACTTAATGAAGCATAATAAGTAAATGATAAAAATTTCAAAATGATTGCACTACTTTAAAGCCCTTTGACCTTTAATAACGTGTGGATGCACCCTGATGTGCTACGAATTCTCCAACGCGCCTAGGCATGCTTCTGGAAAGTTGGATCTGCCAGGGTGTCAAGATAGGGTAAAAGATGGGGTTCTAGAACTTCGTGGATATAACGCTGCGCGTTCATGTTACCTCTGATGAAGATTAAAGGTGACCTGGAACCATAAGCTATAGCACCCCAAACCATAACTCCAACAGTGTGATGAATATGTCTTTCAACAAAAAACTGTGGATTCCTCCTTTCACCACGTCACCTTCTAACCCTGGCACGACCATCATGCATGCCTAAACAAAATCGAGACTCGTCTCTAAAGATAATACTGTTCCATTCCTGCTCCCAGAGTGACCGTTGTCTGCACCACTCAAGGCGATTACGTCGGTGTTCTCGAGTTAAAGGGAGGACCCAGTGTGGCCGGTATGAAAACAAGCCAAAACTTCTCATTCGTCGATAAACACTTCGCATGCCAATAGGTCTTCCGTGTTCTGCAAACCATTCATTTGCAATGGACCTGGTAGTGGAGAAACGGTCCCTTAAGGCCAATAATCTTAGGCGGCGATCTTCACGGTCTGTTGTTCTACGGCGGCGTCCAGTGCCCCTTGCTCTTTGCGTACGGCCTTCTCGAAGCCATGCCTGACAACACCTAAAAACAGTGTCTACAGGTAAAGATACAGCAGATCCAAAAAACTACCGGCCAGTCACTCGCTTGCCTACCATGTACAAAATGCTAACATCAGCCTCAACGAAAAGAGTATACGTACATCTACACAAAAACAAAGTGCTACCTGATGAACAGAAAGGGTGCAAAAAGGGGTCTAGGTGGTGTAAAGATCAGCTACTTGTTAGCAAGATGATAGCATCCATCGCCAAGAAACAAAAACGTAATTTGAGTATGGCGTGGATTGATTATAGAAAAGCTTTCGATAGCCTACCTCATACTTGGATAATGAAGACCATCGAATTATATGGCATTACCCCCACAGTCTCCAATTTCATCCGGACATCAATGGAAAACTGGAAGACAGAGATGCTACTGTTCCATTCCAAAGGGTGTATAAAAGCAAAAGGTGGAATCTTCCAAGGAGACTCGCTTTCTCCTTTACTCTTTTGTATTGCCTTAATACCGCTGAGCAATATGCTGAACGAAGAAGGACTAGGTTTCAGTGTTGGTTTTAACAAGAAAATAAGTCATCTGTTTTATATGGATGACTTGAAGCTCTTTGCCAAAGACGATAAACAGCTGGAGAAAGAACTCTCAATAGTAAAAATGTTTAGTGACGATATCGGTATGGAATTTGGACCTGACAAGTGTGCCAAGATTACTATGAAAAGAGGAAAAGTTGAGAGAAGTGAAAACATCAAATTGAACGACGCCACGGAAATAAAAAACCTAGATAACGGTGAAACCTACAAGTATACTAAGTGACATATAAATCCGAACACCCAGTTTAAATGGTTTTATTTTAATAAAAGTTGGTGAATGTATTTATCTTACTGTAAATAACAATTGAAAAAATGTTCAGCCTTATCAGTTGGACAGTCCGGATTTTATACTGCTTTTTTTTAATTCACTAACGCTCTAAAAATGAATATTTCAGCCGCAGTAAAGAATCAACGTTGGCGGATTTTGGTTCTTGACATCCTTTACGATCGATTACGATGCCTAGAGTACGGAGACCTGTACGATTTCGTCAACTTAGTGAGTTTGATAGGGGCCGTATAGTGGGACTTCGGGAAGCTGGACTTTCTTTTCGGGCAATTGCAGTTAGAGTGCAAAGAAGTGTAGACACTGTGGTTAGGTGTTGTCAGGCATGGCTTCGAAAAGGCCGTAGGCAAAGAGCAAGGGGCACTGGATAACAGACCGTGAAGATCGCCGCCTAAGATGATTGGCCTTAAGGGACCGTTTCTCCACTACCAGGTCCATTGCAAATGAATGGTTTGCAGAACACGGAATACCTATTGGCATGCGAAGTGTTTACCGACGAATAAGAAGTTCTGGCTTGTTTTCATACCGGCCACACTGGGTCCTCCCTTTAACTCGAGAACACCGACGTAATCGCCTTGAGTGGTGCAGACAACGGTCACTCTGGGATCAGGAATGGAACAGTATTGTCTTTAGTGACGAGTCTCGATTTTGTTTAGGCATGCACGATGGTCGTGCCAGGGTTAGAAGGCCACGTGGTGAAAGGAGGAATCCATAGTTTTTTTGTTGAAAGACATGTTCATCACACTGTTGGAGTTATGGTTTGGGGTGCTATAGCTTATGGTTCCAGGTCACCTTTAATCTTCATCAGAGGTAACATGAACGCGCAGCGTTATATCCACGAAGTTCTAGAACCCCATCTTTTACCCTATCTTGACACCCTGGCAATCCAACTTTCCAACAAGATTATGCCCGACCACATGTTGCAAGAGTCACAATAGACTTCTTTCAACATAATGATGTCACATTGTTACCATGGTCACCAAGATCTCCCGACTCATCCCCAATTGAGCACGTGTGGGATATGATGGGTAGGAGATTGCTCAATTTGCAACGTCCTCCTCAGACTCTAGAAGCACTTCGAGAGGAGTTGGTGGTTGCCTGGAATGAGATACCATAGGAGGACATTGACCACCTGATCAGAAGCATGCCTAGGCGCGTTGGAGAATGCGTAGCACATCAGGGTGCATCCACACATTATTAAAGGTCAAAGGGCTTTAAAGCAGTGCAATCATTTTGAAATTTTTATCATTTACTTATTATGCTTCATTAAGTACTTATACAAAATTTTATTAAAATAAAACCATTTAAACTGGGTGTTCGGATTTATATGTCACTTAGTATATTTGGGAGTGGAGGAATGCGGGAGCAGTAGACCAGCCGTAGACAAAGACGCTAGCGTTGCATGGCTCCGTAGTTCTGGTCTGAAGGGCGGAACAGAAAGCCTCTTGATTGCTGCTGAGAACCAAGCCCTCGACACACGCTATCACCAAAAGCGCATACTTGGTTGCGAAGTGGACAGTAAGTGCTGAATACACAAAAAGGCACAACAACGTACCAAGGTATCTACACTGGCTAGTGAGCAAAAGGGCTGGTATAGAGGTCTGCGATAAATATTATGGGCACACTCCAGAAAATAATAAAGTTGTAAACAATGAGGATGTTCGAATCATGTGGGATGTTCCCATCATCACTGATAGAACCATACCTGCCAACCGCCCGGACATAGTGTATCTTGATAAAAGAACAAAAACCTGCTTATATACTACAACTATTTAAAACTGTAATGACTCATACGCGTGATCAACACGTGATCAGAGCTCGATCCCGGCTTCCTTCCAGTACAGCCGTATAGCGTACGACATATGTCGTTTCTGTGGCTTTGCGGTGGTCAACAGCACAGACAGAGATGGAAATAATGGCTGATTGTTCTCCGCCGGTAGAACCAATGAAATCAAAGACGCGCCTCGACCGGCAGACTCATAGGCGTCGGCAACGCATTGGAACGTGTTTCGTTGAGCGATCGCATATTGTGTGTTTTTATAAGAATTGTTGTGTGATTGTTATTGTTGTGGTTTCTGTGGTTACTGTTTTGGTTATACTTAACCATGGAGAGTACAAATGGTACGAGTGGAAGTACTGAAAGCCAGGGAACAAGTAGACGGCTTCGTAAAGCACTGAAGAGGGACGCGAAAGAAATCGTGCTCAACGTGTTCAATTATCTGAACAGAACTATGTCGCAGGGAGATGCACTCGCGCGTTGTGAAAGTATGACAGGCGTTTCAGAGTGGACCATTCGCAGGGTGGTGCATGAAAAGAAGAAAACTGGAGCTACTGCTGATCCAAAGTTTAATTTGAACGGACGAAAGGCCGTTAAATTGGATGACGATAGCAAAATGGCGTTAAGGCGAACCGTACATTCATTCTTCTTTAGGAATGAGATACCAACCCTCAAGGCTGTACATGCAGC